CAAATTGCAGATCTATGGAACATAATGAGGTTGTAATACTTGTTTATTTGATTAAATCTCCCACAGAACCTCAGCGTTGCCTGAAAGTGTCTTTTTGAAGTCTTAACAACTATGTTATCTTTACCACTTCGTATAATTCCCTTACAGTTTGATAGCCTCGTGAGACCATCCTGATCTCGCGAGCTTTCAAGGTTTCACTCGCAGATCAGTCTGGAGACTCTCCGTTAAAGAAAATTTGGAGCCGTTCACCAAACGAACGTCCAATCAGCGTTGGCTTTGAGGCGGATTGAGGTGTGACGCAACGAGAAGCGCGACAGTTCAGTCTAAAGAACATGGCGGCTTCAGCCGATGAAACTAGCGTTAGCGTGGCTATCGAGCAAGTTTTATCGGAATTACAGAGTATTTCTTCACTGAAAGAAGAGCAAAACACTGCTCTGGAGGCTTTTCTCAGAGGAAAAGATGTTTTTGCTCTTCTCCCGACTGGTTTCGGCAAGAGTTTGATCTATCAATTGGCTCCTCTTCGTCGTCGCTCTGTTAGTACGTCATATGCTTCGTTGATCTGATTGGTTTATTTGGCCCGTCTATCACCAACATAGGCCAATCAGCTAACCAGTATTTTCGCCCCTTCCCAAAATCACTTCTACAGAGGGTTTCCAGATGGATATGCAGAGCAAATCCATCTGGCGGAGTCAGGTTAACAGTTTGGACCCATGAGTAGGGCCCTATAAAATCCATTTAATTTTTTCCCAGATTCCGTTTTATTTTTTCCCAAATTCCGTTTTTTCCGTTTTATGTATGTATTTTTGCGCTTCCAATCAATGGAATGTTGACAAAACTTGCAAAACAATCGTTCACCCGACACGTAAAAGTCACGAGGGAACTGCCCGGCTCTGTACTCGGGGATTAGCATCGTGTTTCTCGACTTTTTCGCCGAAAGCAGAGCTGTGGAGAGCCGCCTCGCCATTTTTTCAATGTTTTGACGAGGGAAGGTGAGCGGAAATGACGGAGTGGGAGGGTTTGTGTCACCCATATTTGCGTCCCCCGGTGTGCATTTCAAACAGAATTTAATTTCAAATGTAGAAATTCCGCGTTTACACTAGATTCCGCGTTAATTTGCCAATTCAGCGATTCCGTCCGCAAATCCGTGATCGCGAAAATTATAGGGCCCTACATGAGTTTTAGGGCGGCAGTTCTGGATAGTTCCACTTAATTGTGATGCATTTCAGAACTGCTGTAAGAAAAACATTAAAGAGATATGGTTTGGCTCGCCCTTGCAGCCCAAAAGGAATAATACGGAGTATTGCAACCGTTACATCCTTGGGGATAAACTCCTAAAGTTGACTTCTGAGATAAACGTGTATAAAGTCCTTCATAGACGTACTTGCAGAGAGGAGTTTATGACCGCGCTTATCAGCAGTCATAAATGGAGCAATCAGAGCTCTGGTATTCTGCAGATATCTAAAGTATGAGACTCAGAAATAAAAACAAGGTGGATGGCTGCATCTCTAACTAGAGGTGAACCTTTAACCCGTCTGACCGCGGATGATAAAGTTAATCTGGTGATCAGACAATCCTCCTCTCCGCCTCGGATACTTTAAAGCCTGGTTTATCCTCCACTCTAGAGAAGAAAGACGGATACGGGACGGCTTTAAAGGCGATACCCATTCTTTTCATCAGTGAAGTCTTTCTACACTAGGTGCTGATTTTTATGGACCCAGAATTTCAGGCTGATGTTTTCTCTTCCTCCATTTAGATCAGGGGTAACCAATTAAAATCAGCTGGGTCTGAATAAAGAAAATCATCAACCAGTAAAGGTCTGGAGACTGTATAAACAAACGTTTATACGGTGCTTTTATTTGTTAAACAAATGCTTGGGCCTGTAAAAATATGGAGTATAAAAAGTGCCAAAATTAAATAAATAAATACAGCATTAAATAAATAATTAAATGTGTCAATAATTAATTAAAAGTGGAATTAAATAAATAAATGTGTCATTCATTAATTAAAACCACGTCACTAATATAAAGTGTCACAATTTAATAAATAAATACAGCGATAAACAATTAATTAAATGTGTAATTCATTAAATAAATAAGGAATTAAATATATAAATGTGTCATTAATTTAATAAAATATGTCTTTATTTTATTAAAAAAATATATCTAATTATTTCGGTGTGCATTTAATTATTTCATGGTCCTGTGTCGCAGTGCATCGAAACCATTAAAAGAATCTGTCAAACTCGCCCATCAAAGTTAGGGGCCGGTTTATTTTTTAAATAAAATGAAGACGTATTTTATTAAATTAATGACACATTTATATATTTAATTCCTTATTTATTTAATGAATTACACATTTAATTAATAGTTTATCGCTGTATTTATTTATTTAATTGTGGCACTTTATATTAGTGACGTGGTTTTAATTAATGAATGACACATTTATTTATTCAATTCCACATTTAATTAATTATTGACACATTTAATTATTTATTTAATGCTGTATTTATTTCTTTAATTTGGGCACTTTTTATCCTCCATATAAAAAGTTTTTGTTCCTTGATTTTAATGTTTTATGGAGTATTTCATTGTATAATAACTGTAAAAAAAAAAATAAAAATAAAGGTTTCTACTTCATGGATTTCGCCTATCGCTGGTTCTTTTTGGGACGTAACCCCCGCGATAAACGTGGGTTCACTGTACACATTTAATCTCACGTTTAGTCTGGTTTATCAGGCTAATCAACAGGAGTAGAAATCTGACTGAACGTTCAAGAAAACGCCGGATTGCAGCGTAGAGCTCTCCTCACAACGCATCATGGAATTCGTTTTGGGGTGGAGAAAGAAGGAACATGGTGCAGGGAGTGGGGGGAGCACAAAGGTAGCAATCATCAGTCTAAATGGTCAGTTAACCATAAAGTTGACTATATAGTGATGGAGGGATGAGGGCGGATGTTTGGACAGTCTCCGTCTCATCCAATCATCCTCATATTTTGAAATATATCGGATCAGATTATCTCTTTTCTCGTCCTGTTTGCCCCGTCGTCCATCAAAGCTCCTTCTCTCCTATGAAGGAGGCGGGGGGAGGCGGCTCCTGTTTGTGACACAGGAAGCAAAGCTCAGCAGTGAAGCAGTCTGAGCCGCTCCTACTCTCAGCCTTCAACATCTCAGGGCACTTTGAGATAACTTCTCACTTACAGCCGAGGAAAGCTAAACTAAATCCCTCTGAATTAAAAACACTGATCATTTATTGAACAGGATGGAATAATTTTTCATTTAAAGACTTTCAGAAGTTTGAATTCTGAACATGACCAGACTTTTCCTTTCCTTTTCCTGTTAGCCTACTTCCCATTCAGAAACAGTTTCCTGCTAGCCTCTGGGTCTGACTCAGGGTCAAACATGTACTGTTGTCCCATTGTGAATCTGTATCCTGTCATTGTTTTTTTAACTGTAAAAAGTCCTAGCCACGCCCCCAACATGGCCAGCTGCAGCTCCTATTTGCATAAAAGCTTTAAAATAGGCGGTTTACTTTCTCCAGTTGTTTCTATGTGGAAACGAACCGCAGCCATGTTTGCCATACTGGCGCCTCATGGTGTCGAATCCACACGTGTTAAGCTGCTTTCTTGTCTTGCTTTTGCCTCTTTTGGCAGAATTCATGCTGATCTAATGAAGCTGCTCACATCATCTCTTCCGTCCACATTCAGGGGCGGATTTAGGAAATTTGGGGCCCTAAGCAAAGACAGGCAGGGATTTAAAAGACAACACATAGAACAGCCCCATTCTCCAGATAGAGAAATGTTAATAGAATAGACATCCATTATCTGTTCTAGGTTGTGTCCCTCTCTTCTTGTCCCTTTTCTTCTTGTTTTCCTCTCTATGTTTTGTACTCAGCTGACTTTTCATGCTGTCTCTAAAGGAATGAAAGATTTTTTCCAAGCACTAAGCTCACTTAGCTGATTGCTCCTTCCTGTGTTTCCAAAAAGGCCAAAGTAAATAACCCAGTCCTTCTTTTCACTGTAGACAAGCCATGATCTGCTTATCTGTTCTCCATTTTTCATTTGGATGAAATAATAGCTGCATGAATCATGACAGCAGACAAGATAGAGGAGAGCAGGAGGCGGGGTTACCAATCTACTCGCTCTGGAGAGCAGAGTTCGCTGCTTTTAGATGTTGTCTCCAAAGTCTCCAGTAGCAGAAAAAAGTCTCTAGATTTGGCGCTAGGAGCTTTTTAGAAATCAAAGTGCTAGAGGGGTCTGAAAAGTGGCTAAATATAGCGACTAAAGCGCTAAGTTGGCAACACTGCTCTTTGCATGGTTTGTTTTCAAATGGTGTGCTGCTGTCTGTTTGGACCTTTCTGAACATGTGCAGCAAATGGACTGATCCAATATGGTGGACACTGACACACTTAATATTATCAGCGTTCTGATGGCATTTTAGCAAAAGGATTTTTATGAAAAACATAATTAATGTGCACCAATAAGGAAAAGTTGTATTAACCATACATATAAAACAAGTTTTATGGGGCCCCCAGGAACTTGGGGCCCTAAGCAACTGCTTAATGGTAAATCCCCCTCTGTCAACATTGAACGGAACATAGTTTACCGTAAATATTTACAGAATTACAGGAAGTCCAGCTGGTTTTAACCTGTAAATGTTGGCGAATACGAAGTTCTGGAAACGTTTAGTTTGCTTTATTAAAATCACTGATCGCTGTAATAATCGCATCTATAAAGATAGATTCTAATTAATTTCTCAACTCATTAGTGAACAATGTTCTAGATATTAGTCTATTTAGTTATTTACTTAATATGAGATGAATGTTTTATTTGATAATTAGTTTCATTTAAAGTAAAACAATTTAAAGTCATGGATCCTTTAAAGTAATCTAGTTCCTTTGAAAGTGCAGCAGCTGAGTTACTTTGAGGAAGAAGTTAGTGTAACTGGTTAGTTCTGTGAAGTAACCTGGTAACTCAGTAACCGGTCCTGCTGCTGTGTTGTGCAGGTCTGACGTCGGGCGTCCAGCATGGCGGCAGCGTCTTACGATCAGCTGCTGAGGCAGGTGGAAGTGTTGAAGATGGAGAACTCCAACCTCAGACAGGAGCTGCAGGACAACTCCAACCACCTGACCAAGCTGGAGACGGAGGCGTCCAACATGAAGGTGAGAACGTCTGGAGGACGAGGGAAGCTGGGAACAGCGAGGGGACATGTGCTGCCTGCATCCTGTTGGTCTGATCAGGAAGCTGCTCCCTCAGCCTCTCTCTCTCTCTCTCCATTAACAGTCAGTGTCTCTCTCTCTGCTGCCCAGAATAGACCTGAACTGTTTTCACCCAATCACGCGCTCTGCTGTGTGAGAAAGGGCTCCTTGTTCAGAGTGAGATGTCTGTGTGATTGTGACTCTTTGGTTGGATTCAGGAAATCGCTCAGAGTGAGCGCTCTGTCTGTTTTGGCCGTCCGTTCTGCTGGTCGTGGACTTTCTGCTCCTGTTAGGATGGTTTCTGTTGCTTCTTCCAGGCGCTTTCCCCGGTGGGGGCGTGCCCCCCACTGCGGCATGCTTCGGTCCATATTCTGTTTTTCTCAGCTTTGGTTCTAATGCTGTTTTAATCTCTGGTTCTGTTCTGCTCTCCGGCTCATTATTGCGCCGTCCTTCCCGTCTCTGACTTCCTGTTTCTCTTGTCCTGTTCGTTGCTGTGTGTGTGTGTGTGTGTGCGGGGGGGTGTTAGAGGAGAACAGTGTGATCGCTGTCGCTGTGTGTCATGTCGCTATATGAACGCTGCCGACTGATCGTGGTGAGTCTGGGTTCTCCATCATCTCCTCGTCTGAAATGAAGTCATTGGATTTCCACCCTTCCATTGAACACTGCTCTTTGTCTCCAACAGGAAGTGCTGAAGCAGCTGCAGGGCACCATAGAAGAAGAGTCCGGGGAGGCGCCCGGCTCTAGCCTGGAGCTCATAGAACGGCTGAAAGGTGAGAAGAAGGAGCGCCACTAAACGCAGCAGGTCTTCTTATCCAGACGGCCTCCTCACCCTGTTCCTCCTGCAGAAATGAGCCTGGACCCGGCCGGCTTCAAGACCAGGACCAGACCTCCTCTTCCGCCCTCGTCCTCCTCCAGCTCGGCCTCCTCTTCCTCTGGAACCCCGGCGGGAGCCGCGGGAGGCTCCGCGGCCCCGGGACCGCCATCGGCTGCCTTCCCCCGGAGAGGCCTGCTGTCTGCGGGCAGAGAGAGCCACGACTGCTGCCTGGAGGAGCTGGAGAAGGAGAGGTACGATGCTGCACACTAAGAGGGCAGCACCGCTGCTAAACCCACGATTCCACATCCTCTGTCAGCGTTCCGCCCCGCGGAGCACTTGGCTGTCATGTTAATCAATGAGAGCTGTTCCACATCCACCGCTACTCGTCCGCACGCCACCGTCCACGGACGTCTTCTCCGTCCTTCGGCGTCAAAATACGGAGCCGAGCTATTTTTTTGCTGCCGGGTCAAGATCCGCGATTCCTATCAAACTAAACAGGAAAAAGAACATCTAGAAGATCCGGTTTGTCTAATTAAAATATAGTAACGATGGATCGGCATGGGCGGTTCTAGACAGGGGCCAACGGGGGCCAGTGCCCCTGTAAATCATGTCCTGGCCCCTGTTATGGCCCCTGTACTGAAGACATAATCCTTAAAAGAAATTTTAATGATGATCTGCGCAGATTGCTGATTGGTCCTTTGGATCTATTTCATTTTTTTCTTTACAAATTATGTTTTTCTAATTGTTTAAAAAACAATAAGGTGATAGTTTCAGTCGTATTGAGATAGGATCCCAGTTTTCATCCGCTAAACGTTTTTTTTTTTTTTTTAAATACTCAAATTTTTACATTTAAATTTATCAGTTTTTCTTAAGTTCTAATCCGGATTTTATAGAAAATGGTAATTTTAACTTAAATTAAGTGGAAAAATATGTAAAATTCCTAAATTATGAACGTATATATCTAATAAGAAATAGAATTTTATTCAACCTCATTGAATAGAAATGTCACTTCATGCAGCTCTCTTAATACATTTGAATCCCTTGCTATGTTTTTTATTTCATGCTTTTCTGGGCCCCCATGAAAACACCCGGGCCCCCTCCTGGCCCCCTGGTACATTTGGTCTAGAACCGCCACTGTGGATCAGTATCTAAAAAAGATCATAACTAACTAAGATCGTTTAATTAAGTGATTGGATGCAAACTATCGGTCCTCCAACAGACCAGGAAGCAGATTTCTCATCTCCATCAAAATATTTATTTTATACCAAGAGGCTTAAAAATGTAATAAAATCCAGTCACTAATAAAAAGGCCAAAAAATAAAAATAAAAAATACAGCTCAGAAAAGGCACTGGGGCTTATTTTAGCGCTAAAAAAACAACAGTATATATTATATACACTGATTCTGAAAGAAAGTGGAAAATATTTGCTTCATAAATGTCTTGCAGACATCAAAATGCTTTAGTGTTATTCTATGGGTCAAATAGTTTAGTAAAATAATTTGGCACAATCTGGCACATTTGGAGAGACGCTGGGGGACGCCGCCAAAAGTTCAAAGCGCCACAGCTCTGGAACTGTTATACCTAAAGAGCTGAAATTTTTTGCATTTCTGCTTTACATTATGTAGAATAAATGTAATACAATTAGATTTTCCTTTTCTCAAGCATGTCTTTATTACTGCTGTTAAAAAAAGACATACCAGTATTGTTTTCAAAGAGAAAAAAAAAAACTACTTCAGATAAGAGCAACTTTGAGTCATGTTTGAACTGATGCAGCTTTGGCTGTGTTTTATTCACACTGTTTACATTTATATTGTTAGAAACTAGAAGGGGTTAGCTTTCACTTTATGTATCACACATGTAATTTGGGCTTAAAGTTCCTCAGTTAGATGCAAAATAGACGAGGATTACTTCAAATTAGGTGGGTGTTAAGAGGCTAAAAGAATATTTTTAATAATCGATCCTTATCTTTATTGTACGGAAGAGGATTAGGGCCACTGAAAAAAAAAAAAAGTTAAGTGATTTTTAAAATTTTATTTCAGTTTAGTATGGGAAAAAAACAGTATGCTAACATGGTTGTTAGCTGTCAGAATTCAGTCAGAATTTTGAGAAAAAAGTCAGAATTCTGAGAAAAAAAGTCAGAATATTGAGATCAAAGTCAGAATTTTGAGGTTAAAATGTCAGAATTCTGAGATCAAAGTCCGAATTCTGAGATCAAAGTCAGAATTCTGAGATCAAAGTCAGAATTCTGAGATCAAAGTCAGAATTTTGAGATTAAATGTCAGAATTCTGAGATCAAAGTCAGAATTCTGCTTTAATCTCAGAATTCCCATACTAAACTAAAATAAAAAGTAAAAAATCAGTTAACTGTTTTTTATTTTTTTTTTCAGTGGCCCTAATCTTCTTCCGTATTATTGACACATAACCTCAGAGGTTCCATCCGGGGCGTCTGATGCTTTGGATGTTCTTGATGCAAAGCTACACTTTAAAGTCAGCAGGAGTCTTTGCATGTAAACCGTCTGCTGCTGATGTCAAAAAGCATTCGTTCTGAACGCAGCTTTGTCTCAAGTTCTGGATTCATACTTTAAGTTTTGCAAAGTCCTAACATCTAACCTCGTATTCTGACAGTGGAAACATCTGACATCATATGTATGAATGAGTTGATGAAAAACAACCAATAAATCTTGAATTAATTAATTATTGACCAACGTTTACAAATTCGGACGCCTACACGTTAGATTTTATTGACTGTTATAGTTTAGTTGTTTCCTTGGATCCTTACGTATAGATTATAACCTTCAACTTGACCTTTTACTAATACTGTTACTTCCTCTCCTGTGATTGGCTGCTGCCTTTTCACAGGTCCCTCCTATTGGCTGAGCTGGAGAAGGAGGAGAAGGAGAAAGACTGGTACTATGCTCAGCTGCAGAATCTCACCAAGAGGATCGACAGTCTGCCTCTTACCGAGAATGTAAGAACTTCTTAGAGCCCACGGTGCTGCATGTCTGCTGAGCATGGTGCATGCTGGGAGTTGTAGTTGGTGACATGTGGCTGTTTCAGTTCACTCTGCAGACGGATATGAGTCGCCGCCAGCTGGAGTTTGAGGCTCGTCAGATCCGATCGGCGATGGAGGAGCAGCTGGGGTCGTGTCAGGAGATGGAGAGGAGAGCTCAGGTAGGCGGAGCTCCTCTGTAGCTCACCTGCATGCCAGCTGTTCCTCACACTCACCTGATGGGGCGTGTTACGTGTTTCTAGGCTCGCGTGTCTCGTATCCAGCAGATCGAGAAAGACATCCTGCGGCTGGGAGCCAGACTGCAGGTAAACTTACCCGCCGCTCGGCCTGCGGCTCGGTCACACGCTCCGTTACCTGATCGACATGTTTGTTACTGCAGGTGGAGGGAGCTCAGAGTGCTGGGGACAGCAGCGGGTTGGCTGCAGCTCAGGTGAGTTCCCTAACCTGCCTTCTGATTGGTTAACCCTTTAGTTTAGGTTTGTCTTTCTTTCTTTTTTTTTTTCCTCCATCGTTTTTAAATGTTGGCTTCATGTTTCAGAGTTCCAGCAGCCGACTGGACCAGGACTCTGCCAGTGAGACCAGCTACTCTGTGCCTCGACGAATCACCAGCCACCTGGGAACAAAGGTGCGTGTGCAGGGCTTTGATGCATCATTCCTAACTCTTATCCCTGCATGTTGTGCAAAACTTTACATGTATGGTTAATTATTCCTTATTTTTGCACATTAATAATGTTTTTGATAAAAATCCTTTTGCTAAAATGTCTTAAGAACGCTGATAATATTAAGTGTGTCTCAGCCCCCCCCTCAGTGTCCACCATATTGGATCAGTCCATTTGCTGCACATGTTCAGAAAGGTCCAAACAGACAGCAGCAAACCATTTGAAAACAAACCATGCAAAGAGCAGTGTTGCCAACTTAGCGCTTTAGTCGCTATATTTAGCCACTTTTCAGACCCCTCTAGCACTTTGATTTCTAAAAAGCTCCTAGCGCCAAATCTAGAGACTTTTTTCTGCTACTGGAGACTTTGGAGACAACATCTAAAAGCAGCGAACTCTGCTCTCCAGAGCGAGTAGATTGGTAACCCCGCCTCCTGCTCTCCTCTATCTTGTCTGCTGTCATGATTCATGCAGCTATTATTTCATCCAAATGAAAAATGGAGAACAGATAAGCAGATCATGGCTTGTCTACAGTGAAAAGAAGGACTGGGTTATTTACTTTGGCCTTTTTGGAAACACAGGAAGGAGCAATCAGCTAAGTGAGCTTAGTGCTTGGAAAAAAGGGACAAGAAGAGAGGGACACAACCTAGAACAGATTATGGATGTCTAACTCTATCGCCCCCTGCAGGTGGAGATGGTGTACAGCCTGCTGTCCATGCTGGGAACTCACGATAAAGACGACATGTCACGCACGCTGCTAGCCATGTCCAGCTCGCAGGACTCCTGCATCGCCATGCGTCAGTCGGGCTGCCTGCCGTTGCTCATCCAGCTGCTGCACGGCAATGACAAGGACTCCCTGTTGCTAGGTAAGTCTCTTCCTCCTTTCCTCACCTTGCTCAGACTTCCCACCTGTGCTCACACCTGCCTGGTTGCCCAGGTAACTCCCGCGGCAGTAAGGAGGCCCGGGCGAGGGCATCGGCCGCTCTGCACAACATTGTGCACAGCCAGCCTGACGACAAGAGGGGGCGCAGGGAGATCAGGGTGCTCCACCTGCTGGAGCAGGTGCGCCACTACTGCGAGGCGTGCTGGAGCTGGCAGGAGAACCACGAGAGGGGCGTCGACCAGGAGGACAACCCCAGTAAGTAACCGGCCACGTTGACCAGAACTGGCGTCCTACGGCAGCGTTTTGATGCAGTTCTGATGTCATGTTGCAGTGCCGTCTCCTGTGGAGCATCAGATCTGTCCGGCTGTCTGCGTCCTCATGAAGCTGTCCTTCGACGAGGAGCACCGCCACGCCATGAACGAGCTGGGTGGGTCGGCTAGGAAGGTTCTAATACGTCTGAACTGGGTCCTGACTGGGTTTACTGGGAGGTTTACTGGGTTCCTATGGAGTGAATTTTGTTCTGTTAATGTGCAGAGAACACGTTTAGTGAAAGTAAAATTGAAATAAACGGGATCCAGAAATGAAAATTGATTAAAAAAAAAAAAAGATTTTGAGAATTTCTCATTATTTTATTTCAATTCAGTTTATTTCTATTGCATCGATTCCCATCATGTCATCTCAGGTCACTTTCCAGTTCAACCATATCATCCAATCAGATTGATTCAAAGTTTTCTATCTAAGGAAAACCAGCTGATTGCATCGACTCATTGACTCTTCAGCAATCCCTCACACTAAGCATGCTTGTAGCGACAGTGGAGAGGAAAAACTCCCTTTGAACAGGAAGGAACCTCCAGCAGAACCAGGCTCAGTGTGAGCGGCCATCTGCTGAGGCCCACTGGGGTTCAAGGAGACAGAAGCAGACATACAGAAAGATATTTTTAAAATAATTTTTATATAGTTTTAACACATTGTAGTATTTTAGTTTTTTAGATTGACATGTCTATGAATTGGGCTCTTTTTTATTTATGATAATACCTTTTTCTTTACTTCTAGTTCAATCCTAACTCAAGTTTTTGACAAAAGAATGTTGTTGCTAACGTCCAACAGACCAATAAAAATGGATCGTCACTCCTCCCCCAGAGCAAAGCCTGCCCCCAGCACAGTAGAAAATGTAATCTATATTTGAAAAAAAATACTTTATATAAACCTCAATAAACAAAAAGGAATATAAATTTAAATTTTTTATATTTTATATAAATGTAAAGAATTTGAAGTTTTAAGTCCAAACGTTTTTTTTAAAGTTTCATTACTGGATTCCAAAAAAGTTAAAATCCAATCCAGTAGACTTTGTTTCCAAGTTTGAAGACGTTTCGCTTCCTATCCAGGAAGCTTTTTCAGGCTTCCTGGATTTTAATTTTTCAATTTAAAGGCATACTATGCAACATTTTTCAGTTAATTAATGTGTTCCATAACGTTTTGGATGATTAAATGAGTCATTTCAGGTCGAACAAAGGTTTTCTCGGTCGCCCTGGTTGTCGGTGGTCGTTGCTAGCGCAGTGGCGATATTTGTGCAGTTATCATGGCGGAACTAGCGAAAAAACAGCAAAATTTTCAAACTCGAAAATTGGAACAAAATAGTCACTTATCGCAGTAGACATGGTGATTCGTTGCGTTCGCCTGTCTGCTAAGCTCAAAACAAGCGCGCCTGGCTTGACGGAGAAACCAGGAGAACAGCTGAGCATATTTACGACAGTGCACTTTTACTTTCGCCCTCTGGGGGGAGCCTCGCTGGAAAATCAACACCGGTTTCATAGCATACCTTTAAACTACCCGTTTGACACAGAACAGCCTGTAAAAAGAGGCAGGAAGCAGCTTGTGTTGAACTTTATTGATCATCTTCAGTTAAACATGAAGGTTTTTGCTTTAGAGTCTTTTTTTCCTTCGGCAGGAATCAGTGAAAATCAGCATTCAAGCAAAAACTCTGTTAAATATGTGCTTCAGAATCCAAATGCCTGCAGGTTTACAGTAATAACTTACGCCTGTTGCATAGTATACCTTTAAAATAAAAAAATTTGAATTGAAAAAGCTTCCTGGATGGGAAGCAAAACATCTTCAAACTTGGAAACAAAGTCTACTGGATTGGATTTTAACTTTTTTGGAATGACTATGACCTGAATGACTGAGAATTTTCACCAGCTGACTGTATTCCTTTTTTTTTTTTTTTTTTTTTCAAATTTCGTTTTCAGACTGTATTCCCTGTAAATGATGGATAAAACTTAACTCCATACCTTCTGTTGTTTCTGCCCCTGCAGGAGGTCTGCAGGCAGTGGCAGAGCTGCTGCAGGTGGACTGTGAGATGTTTGGGCTGAGCAGCGACCATTACAGCGTCACGCTGCGAAGATACGCCGGCATGGCGCTCACCAACCTCACCTTTGGGGATGTCGCCAATAAGGTGAGGAAGGGTCGTCATGGTAGCTGAAGTTCACAGAGGAGCAAACCTTCAAAACAAAATATGACAATGAAAACCAGAAATTCGTAGAGAGAAGAATTTTCTCAGGGTTTGAGCCGGTGATGTTTTGTCGTTCCTCCAGGCTACGCTCTGCTCCATGAAAGGCTGCATGAGAGCCATGGTGGCTCAGCTCAAGTCTGAGAGCGAGGACCTGCAGCAGGTACGTTCAGCTGCGCCCGACGGCGTGACGCTCAGCAGCTGTTCTCCAGCTCATAGACGGGTTCTGTTGTTTCCAGGTGATAGCCAGCGTCCTGAGGAATCTGTCATGGCGTGCCGACGTCAACAGCAAGAAGACGCTGCGCGAGGTCGGCAGCGTGCGAGCGCTGATGGGCTGTGCTCTCGAAGTGCAGAAGGTACGTACTCGCCGGGCCGCCGCTGAGCGCGTTCGGTCCGCCTCCTCTCACCGTTTGTTCGCCGTTTCAGGAGTCCACGCTGAAGTCGGTGCTGAGCGCGCTCTGGAACCTTTCGGCTCACTGCACGGAGAACAAGGCGGACATCTGCGCCGTGGAGGGCGCTCTGGCCTTTCTGGTCGGGACGCTGACGCATCGCAGCCACACCAATACGCTCGCCATCATTGAGAGCGGCGGGGGAATCCTCCGGAACGTTTCCAGCCTCATCGCCACTAACGAGGCGCACAGGTAGGCCCTCGAATCTCGTAGAGAGTCACCGTGTGGACGGCGGCGCGTTGTCAACCTCTTCATCTCGTCCTGTAGGCAGATCCTGCGGGAACATGGCTGCCTCCCGACGCTGCTGCAGCACCTGAAGTCTCACAGTCTGACCATCGTGTCCAACGCCTGCGGGACGCTGTGGAACCTGTCGGCCAGAGACGCCAAAGACCAGGAGACGCTGTGGGAGCTGGGAGCGGTGGGAATGCTGCGCAATCTGATCCACTCCCGACACAAGATGATCGCCATGGGCAGCGCCGCCGCCCTGCGTAACCTGATGGCCAACCGTCCAGCCCGCTACAAAGACGCTAGCGTTGTGTCGCCAGGAGCTGGCGCCCCGTCGCTGCACGCCCGGAAGCAGAAGGCGTTATTCGAGGAGCTGGATGCACAGCAGCTGTCGGAAACCTTCGACAACATCGACAACCTGAGTCCCAAGGCGGCAAACAGGAAGGGGCGGAGCTGCAACGGCGCCGGAGCCGCAGGTGGTCACGCTGCCCGCTCCTACACCAACACGCCTGTGTTGTCGAGCCCAAAGAGCGGCGACGGATCCAAAAGGACAAGCGAGGAGGCGGCGTACGCCCGGTCTGTGTTCCCGCCCAGCGTACGCGCCTCCAGCGACTCGCTGAACAGCGTGACCAGCACCGACGGCTACGGCAACCGCGGCAAAACCAAGCCCTCCTCAAACCCCTTCTACTCCTCGGAGGAGAGCGGTGCCAACAAGTGTTGCGTCTACAGGAAGTACCCCGCCGACCTGGCACATAAAATCCGCAGCGCCAACCACATGGCCGACGACGACGGGGCGGAGCTGGACACGCCCATCAACTACAGCCTGAAGTACTCTGACGAGCAGCTGAACTCTGGGAGACAGAGCCCGAGCCAAGATGGAGACCAAGAGCAGGACGTCAGGCTGCGGAGGAACGACGGCGGCGATACGGGTCACGGCGGCAGCCGCCTGGCGTCTGGACAGTCGCAGCGCTACGTCGTTTCAGGGACGTCGAGCTACGCTGCCGACTCCACTCCTGAGCAACCCATCGACTACAGCCTGAAGTACGGCGCCGACTCTGCTCGCAAACCTCTCTTCAAGCAGGATGAGACGGCCATCCCTTCTCTGGCTCCTCCCACTTCCTCCACCACCAACAAGCTCCGCCCCCTGCCTCCTGCAAACTCCCGCACAGTGACAAAGAGTAACCAGGAGTCCACACAGACATACTGCGTGGAGGACACGCCCATCTGCTTCTCCAGGGGCAGCTCGCTGTCCTCGCTGTCCTCAGAGGAGGACGAGGACGCCGACGTCATCACGAGGAAGACCAAAGGCGGCGGCGGCGGAAACGAGTACCCGACGCTTCCTGTCGGCGAAAAAGATTCTCATGAGCAGCAGCAGCAACGGCGTCAGCAGAAAGAGGCGGAAAGCCAGACGTCTGCCGCTCCGTCGACACGAGGGCGGAGAGGTCACCACCACCACCACGGACACCATCATCACCACCATGCGACGTCCTCGTCGTCAGGCGCCAGGACGCCAAAGAGCCCCCCGGAGCCGCCGTATGCCCAGGAAACGCCGCTGATGTTCAGCCGCTGCACATCAGTCAGCTCCCTGGACAGCTTCTCCACCTCCTCCATCGCCAGCTCCGTGCGCTCCAGCGAGCCGTGCAGCGGCATGCCAAGTGGCGTGGTCAGCCCCAGTGACCTCCCGGACAGCCCCGGGCAGACCATGCCCCCGAGCCGCGCCAAGACGCCGCCGCCGCCGCTGCCGGCGGAGAAAAACAAGCAGGAGGAAAATGTCAAGAAGGAGGAGGAGAGCAGCGTGGACGTCCTGCTGCACTTCGCCACAGAGAGCACGCCGCACGGCTTCTCCCGCGCCTCCAGTCTGAGCGCGCTCAGCCTGGATGAGCCGTACATCGCAGCGAATATAAAGAAGGCGGAGCAGCAGGAGGAAGCGGGCAAGGAGGCGAAGGAGGAGCCTCTGAAACAGATCCTGGACGAATCCGACGACGACAACGAGATCTTGGTGGCGTGCATCAATATGGCCATGCCCAAGTCGTCCCAGAAACCAAAGAAACCGCAGCCCGCGGCGCCACGGAAACCCAGCCAGCTTCCTGTATACAAGCTCCTCCCTCCACAGAGCCGAGCCCTGCCCAATCAGAGAAAGGACGCTCCACCCCCGCCCGAGGAGGTGCCTAGAGTTTACTGCGAGGAGGGAACGCCGCTCAACTTCTCTACCGCGACCTCGCTCAGCGACCTGACCATAGATTCCCCGCCCAATGAGGAGGTAGCCCCGCCTCCCGCCGCCCCGAGAACAAGAGCCGGGGTCCCAGAGGGGGAGAACGGCGACGACATCTTAGCAGAATGCATCAGCGCCGCCATGCCTAAAGCCAAACCCAGGAAACCCGTCAGAGCTGCCGAAAGCAACGAGGTCTTTCAGGCCACACCCCTTCTTCCCACAGCGTCTGCGCCGCCACCACCGCCTCTCTGCCAGCCACAGCTGAAGAAGAAACCCACCTCCCCCGTGAAGCCCATGCCTCAGCGGGCGCCGTACAGCGTCCCCACCGCAGCCGCCGCCAAACCAAAACCAGGATTTGCCTTCGATTCACCGCGCCACTACACCCCCATCGAGGGAACGCCGTGCTGCTTCTCCCGTAACGACTCTTTGAGCTCCCTGGACTTCGACGAGGACGAGGCCGTAGAAAAGGAGGGAGAGGACAGGAAGAGCAAAGAGGAAGAAAACAGGAAAAGGAAGCAGCAGACGGCCGCCGTCTTCCCTCGAACCAAAGCCGCAGCCGGTCAGATGGTCACGGACGAGAAGCAGAAGTTCGCCATCGAAGACACGCCCGTCTGCTTCTCCAGAAACCCCTCGCTGAGCTCGCTGAGCGACATCGACCAGGAGAACAACAACAAGGAGTTCGCACCTCCCCCGCAGCAGGAGGAGGAGGAGGAGGCGGAGCCTGAAAGGGGAGAGGCAGCAGCGAAACCTCTCCCCCCTACGGAGGTGAGTTCAGCTCAGAGCGGGAACCTCCTGCGCCAAAGCCCGACTTTTATACTGAAAGTCTGAAAAGCACAAATAAACTCAGATCTAGAAACCATCGTGTTCAGGATTTTAACAAAAAATTAATAATAAAAAGATAAATTTTAAAAAATCAACTCAGGATTAATGGTTTATTAGATTAAAATTAGTTCAATCCGGTTCGTGGATAAAGAACGGAGAGGATCCAGGCCAGACGGGGGGATTTATCTTTAGGCAATACTAGGCAGCTGCCATAAAACGGTTTAAATGTATGCAACCATTACTGGATTTAAGGCCTTAATTGGCAGTAAAGTTCATTAAATATGATTATTGTGGCATTTAAAAAGCTTTAATAAAACTAAATGTATAAAAACTATTTTGTCAGATATATTGTATCCGATAAAACTGGTTCTGCGTGTTTGTGCGGAACTTCAGGTTGATCGTAAAGTTTGGAAAAGAAGCTCAAGGCGGAGAAAAAGTAACCTGACTCCGCCAGATGGATTTGCTCCGCATATCCATCTGGAAACCTTCCGTTGAAGAAATTTTGGGAAGGGGTGAAAATACTGGTTAGCTGATTGGCCTATGTTGGTGATAGACGGGCCAAATAAACCAATCAGATCAACGAAGCATATGACGTACTAACAGAGCGACAACGAAGAGGAGCCAATTGATAGATCAAACTCTTGCCGAAACCAGTCGGGAGAAGAGCAAAAACATCTTTTCCTCTGAGAAAAGCCTCCAGATCAGTGTTTTGCTCTTCTTTCAGTGAAGAAATACTCTGTAATTCCCATAAAACTTGCTCGATAGCCACGCTAACGCTAGTTTCATCGGCTGAAGCTGCCATGTTCTTTAGACTGAACTGTCGCGCTTCTCGTTGCGTCACACCTCAACCCGCCTCAAAGCCAACGCTGATTGGACGTTCGTTTGGTGAACGGCTCCAAGTTTTCTTTAACGGAGAGTCTCCAGACTGATTAGCGAGTGAAATCTTGAAAGCTCGCGAGATCAGGATGGTCTCACGAGGCTAGCGAAAAAGTTTGAGAATGTGGGAAAAGGCAAATTTCAGCAAAAGTCGCCGGAAAAAGAGGAGTTGGGGACATTGCTGCAGCCTGTCGATGGTAAAGATGATGAAGGATTTTAACGTGTTTTTTATCCGCTCCGGTCCGGCCAGGTCAAGATCCGCTATTTCAATCACACCAAACAGGAAAAATAACGGAGAGAAGATCCAGTGTGTCAAATTAAAATATAGTAACAACTAGGGGTGGAACGGTTCACAAAATCCACGGTTCAGTTCGGTTAACGGTTTCGTGGTCACGGTTTCTCGGTTCGGTTCATTATATGTTGATTGTTAGCCTGACATGTTGGTCATGTTGCTGTTAGCATAAACAAAACGTGTTGCACAATGCTTGCACACTGTTCCACTTTTATCCACAGCTTTCTTTCCGCCGTCTTCGTAGGTCACTCTAAATGCAAAGTGGTCCCATACATCAGACCTATAAAGTGCTGCTGGCGCGTCTTCAAACTCCTGTTCTTTCCCACTAGCCATACCCACACAATTCTCCACAACAACTGATTGTTTCCTACTATACCCGGCTACGCTGCTTCGCTTCTTCTTCTTCTTGTTTACTACTGGTGGTTGGCTTTGGTCGCAGTACCGCCACCTTCTGCTCTGGAGTGTAAACGCTTCGCCTATGAGAAAAAGGAGCAGCGCATGAACCGAACGCAACACACGCGAACCGAAAAGGTTCGGACAGTTTTCAAAAACCGTTCCATCCCTAGTAACGACAGATCGGTAACTACAAATTAGAGCATAATTCTTATATATATAAAAAAAAAAAACTGTCACGGTTTATTTAAACGACTGGACGCAAACTATTGGTTCTTCAACAGACCAGGAAGCAGATTTCTCATCTCCATCAGAAACAGCTCATCTGCTGGATGATGGTGGGAATTTTTTTTTATATGCTCATAATAAATTAAGCGTTAATTTCTGCATGTTTTTGCTCCTACGAATTTAATGATAATATCGTAATGCTCTCCTCGAGCTCCGAAGATGAGAGGCACAGCGATACGGGAGGAACAGCGGAGGCTGTAGGCTTTGCTTTGTGCAGGAGGTCTGGAGCGATGCGGAGGATTTAGGATTTCGGGGTAACAGGAGAAGCGGCGCAAGTGACGTTTAGACTCTGTCCTCAGACGACATGCAGTAATTTATAAATGTTTTGAATCAGGTTGCGTCTGGATCCGAACCGCAGTCCGCTAATCCGTGACCTCTGCCTTAGATGCTCACCGGGGACAGTGGGTGGGGGGGTCTGAGTGGGCAGGATACAGGATGTTTGACGTGGATTGTTCTTGGCTATGGCTAATATGTAACGTCTGTCCTGCGCAGGTGGAGTCCAAGCCCCGCCCCCCTGCAGCCAGCGGTTACGCTCCTAAAGCGTTCCACGTGGAGGACACCCCGGTCTGTTTCTCCAGGAACTCCTCACTCAGCTCCCTCAGCATCGACTCTGAGGACGACCTCCTGCAGGAATGCATCAGCTCCGCCATGCCCAAGAAGAAGAAGAAGTCCGCCGCACTTCCTGCACCCGCTGCCATCGCTACGCCGGCTCCTCCCTCCAAGGCCGACGAAGGCATTCTGGCCGAGGAGGAGCCCTCAGAGGCACCGAGAAGCCCCACCTCCCCTGACTCAGAGTCCTTTGACTGGAAGGCCATCCAGGAAGGCGCCAACTCTATAGTCAGCAGCCTGAACGCCGCCGCTGCCTCGTCCCTGTCTCGCCAGCCGTCATCGGACTCTGACTCCGTTCTCTCCCTGAAGTCTGTCGGTTCCCCCTTCCACCTGCCGAGGGCCAATAAGAACGCTGATGAGGAGGAGGAGGAGGAGGCGCTGCAGGTGAAGCGAGGCGCCCGCATCCTAAAGCCAGGCGAGCGCAGCACGCTGGAGGCCAAGAAGAAGGAGGAGGAGGACGAGGAGGAGGCGAGGGCGTTGAGGGGCGGGAAGAAGGTGTACAGGAGTTTGATCACAGGTAAACCCAGGGCAGAGCCGGCGGCCAGGGGGGCGGAGCAAACCGAGAGCGGCAGCTGTGGCCAAACCTCCAGGAGGCAGCGACAGCGCCGAGAGAGGAGGTGGGTCTTCCCGGGACTCCACCCCCTCTCGGTCAACCGCAGCAGCCAATCAGAAAGCAGGGAAGCTGTCCCAGCTGCCACGAACCGCGTCTCCAGGAAGTGCCTCGTCAACGTCTTCCTCTAGAGCAGCCAAACAGGGCGCCCCAAAGAGCGCCGGCATCCCGAGAAGCGACTCGGCCTCCAAGCTCAGCAGCTCCGCCTCCACCAAGAAGCAGAAGGCGGAGCCTGAGAAGCCGGCTCTCGTCCGACAGTCGACCTTCATCAAAGAGGCTCCGAGTCCCACACTGAAGAGGAAACTAGAGGAGTCGTCCTCAGCAGTGCCGGCGTTGGAGTCGCCATCCAGCCCTGAAACTCTGCTTCCTCCCGCCGCCAGAAAAGATGTCAACCGCTCACAGTCAGAGAGTCCGTCACGCCAACAGGACGCCGGCTCATCGCGCCTGAGCCGCACCGGCACCTGGAAGAGGGAAACCAGCAGCGCCGGCACAGGAGCGAGCGGCGGGAAGCACTCCACCTCTTTACCTCGGGTTGGCACGTGGAAGAGGACGGGCAGCTCGTCGTCGGTGCTGTCGGCGTCATCAGAGTCCAGTGAGAAGGGGCGAAGCGAGGACGGTACCAGCAGGTCCAAAGGGACATGGCGGAAGGCCAAGAGCAACGTCGGCGACTCGGCGGCGGCCAAATCAGAGGATGTTTGGGTTCGCCTGGAGGACTGTCCCGTTAACAACCCCCCGCTCGCCGTCCTCCTGCTCGTCCCGCTCCCCCACCACCGCCAACGCCCCCACCGGTCATCGACAGCCCCGCCCCCTCAAAGAACCCCTCCTCTTCATCCTCCTCATCCTCTAACCTCAATCTCCGGCGGAGCTGTGAGAGTTTGGACGACCAGCCTCCGCCGCCGCCCGACCGCCAGCAGCAGCAGCGTAGTCAGCAGCGCAGCGGCGCCGTGGCGGCTCGAGTCAGTCCCTTCAACTACACGCCCAGCCCGAGGAAGAGCAGCACAGAAATAAGCTCCGCCCCCACACAGCCAACCAGCAGCACGTCCACCACCCCCACGCGGCCGTCTCTCATCCCCACCCCAGTAACCAAGAAGCGCGAGCCGAAGGGCGGAGACGGAGGCGGCGGCGGCGGAGAGCGCGGCTCCTACATCGTCACGTCCGTGTAAATCCACGACAGAAATCGAGTTTGGGAGCGGAAACAGAATAGGAAGTGATTCAGTGTTTTAGCTCCGCCCCCATCCTTCTGCTGCTTGATTAGCTCCTCCCACCTGCCTGGGAGGAAACTTAAACTTTATATGTTTTTATACCACTAATGATCCGTAGCGCTTAGCTCCGCCCCCTGTTCTTCCCTGCATGGTCCCGCCCCTTCATAACAATGTTACCATGGTGACCCGGAGACGATGATGTTGATGATGTTTCTGATAGCTTTAGCATCTGGAAGATCTGCTGTTTTTATAAATGGTTTGGTTCTGAACAAAGTTCTGATGCTGCGAGTCGGTCCAATCGGCTGATCCGATGTTAGAATGCGATCCATGATCAGAAACCAGAACCGGTCCTGAACATTTGAACTAATCTGATGTCAGATTATTAACTAACTAACCTGTTCTGGGCTCAGGTTCTGGGTTCTTTCTTCTCTTTGAATAACAGAACCAGTTTCCTCAGCAAGCCCGGCTCTGTTCAGAACCGCCGTCTGATATTTCCCGTTCTGTCGCCTTGGAAACGAGTAACACTGTAAAGCGTAAATTATTGCTGTAAACCTGCAGGCATTTGGATTCTGAAGCACATATTTAACATATTTTTGCTTGAATGCTGATTTTCACTGATTCCTGCCGAAGGAAAAAAAGACTCTAAAGCAAAAACCTTCATGTTTAACTGAAGATGATCAATAAAGTTCAACACAAGCTGCTTCCTGCCTCTTTTTACAGGCTGTTCTGTGTCAAACGGGTAGTTTAAAGGTACACTATGCAACCGGTGTTGATTTTCCAGCGAGGCTCCCCCCAGAGGCCGAAAGTAAAAGTGCACTGTCGTAAATATGCTCAGCTGTTCTCCTGGTTTCTCCGTCAAGCCAGGCGCGGTTGTTTTGAGCTTAGCAGACTGGCGAACGCAACGAATCACCATGTCTACTGCGGTAAGTGACTATTTAGTTCCAATTATCGAGTTTAAACATTTAGCATGTTTTCATACATTATTTATAGGGATGCACGATATTGGGATTTTGGCCGATATTTTAAAACTCATGTAGCCGGTAGCCGATAACCGATATCGATACCGATGTTAAAGCTGGACAAAATAAGTAGTCATTGAAAATAGCAGTTTTGTTATCCATTTCTGACACTTAAATAATAAATAATAATAAAAAAAATAACAAACTCAAATATATTTTCATATGCTGATATCAAATGGATTTTTAAAAACGCGGTATCGATCTATTTTACTTTCAAAATCTCGTGAAATTTCATCGTTCTGTTACAAACTTGTGATATTTTGCAAATTCTTGTGAGATTTTGTTAGTAAAATAGATCGATACTGCGTCAATATATCAACATATAAAAATATGGCAACATTTGGTGAATTTTCGGGGGATTTCGTAGCATAACGATGACATATAGCAATATTTCATTAGTAAAAGAGATTGATATGGTGTTTTTAAATGGCAATATATCAGCATATGAAGATATTGGGATATTTTAATGGATCAATATTTTTTCCCTCGTCTTTAGAAGTTTTTAAGTCTGTAAAAAAGAAGTTTTTGAGGAAGAAGAAGTAGTAGTATTTCTTTTTTTTTTTAGACTTTAGAAACTCAGAAGCTGATCAAATATCGGGTTAAATATCGGTGGGGTGGCCGATGTCCGATATTCAGTTTTAAGGCCGATACCGATAGGGGCCGATTATATCGTGCATCCCTAATTATTTGTTATGCATGTGTCTAAATAACAAAGATTGTAGTTAGCCTAGTTGGAGTTTCCTGCGCCGACATTGGCTTTCGCTGTTTTCTCGCTGGTTCCGCCATGATAACTGCACAAATATCGCCACTGCGCTAGCAACGAGCATGCCTTTCACTGGGGGCGTGTAGCAGTTCTCGCCGTAAAGCAAGACCGACTCTCGCGATGCACGAGACCTCTGAGCCTGTGGGTGCGGGACGAGGGCTCCTGCAATTGCAAGTACGGTGTTTCCCCTACTGACCACCAGGGCGGCCGAGAAAACCTTTGTTCAACCTGAAATGACTCATTTAATCATCCAAAACGTTATGGAACACATTAATTAACGGAAAAATGTTGCATAGTGTGCCTTTATTAGAGCCTCTCATTAGAGAGATCGATAAAACAGAAAGATGTGGAGGATCTGATTCAGCAGATCTATGATTCTGAGGAGCTGCTTCATGATGTGGGCCATATTAGAGGACTGAAGAACAGACTACGTTTGGTTAATCATAGAACCAGTTTCCTCTGTAGCAGTACAGTAGCAGCCATTCAAAATTTCCCCACTTTCCTTGATGGGTCCTTGGCTGGTGCCCTTAAATTCCTCTTTAAAAATCAATATTTGTAATAAAATATTCGTTCTCTCATGATTTGTTTGACATTAATATTGAAAGAGAAGCATCATCTCCTGGTCAGACCCTGTAATTCAGTGAAAGGATGGAGTCAGAGTTTAAAATATGCAGGAGGGGGTCGCTCCAGTGGCTGGAAGTTGGAGGGAAGTGGGCTGCGATTCGGCTGACGTTTGATTGCGAAGAGCCATTTTGAAAGGCTGCTACTGAAGGATGGAGAATTCGCCACTGATAGACGGGACCAGATGTTCATCTGAACCAGGAAGTGGTCGGCAGCAGCAGGACTGTGGCACTTACACAAAACCAAGATAAATGTAGCCCCTGTAAAGAGAAAATGTACATTAAATGTTAACAAATAATGCAAATTTTTTTTTCATATTTTTTGAGGGAGATTTAATTTTATTTTTATATGCATGATTTTTTAAATTCTGTATTATTCCACCCTCTATTTTATTTAATTCAGTTTATTTCTATAGCTCCAATTCACAACACATGTCATCTCAGGTCACTTTACAGATCATCCAGTCAGATTGATTCAAAGTTTTCTATCTAAGGAAAACCAGCTGATTGCATCGACTCATTGATTCTTCAGCAATCCCTCACACTAAGCATGCTTGTAGCGACAGTGGAGAGGAAAAACTCCCTTTGAACAGGAAGAAACCTCCAGCAGAACCAGGCTCAGTGTGAGTGGCCATCTGCTGAGGCCCACTGGGGTTCAAGGAGACAGAAGCAGACATAGAAAAAGAAGCATAGATACAAAAGGCAACTGTCAACCAGCTCCACAGGCGGCCCCGTCCAGGAAACACACAGCCAGGCAGACGAGCTCCGAGCCAGCTCCCATGTCAGAGGATGAAGAGAGCACATCCAGTTAGTCACAGTCAGAGAAACAGGACTACACTGGAAAACAGGCCAAGCTCCAACATCTAGAAACAAAGGTGTTGATGGCAGCAGCACAGCTGATATTTCTCTCCAGGATGGAGTCACAGCCAAACAGGAACAGACCAGATGAAGCTACTATGAGAAAAAGCAGAGAGAGCAGAACGTTAGAGATTGAACTAACAGATTCTGCAGAGTGGGAGAATAGAGATAGAATGAAGCAGAATGATGAAAAAGGGGTCCCTATGTCCTCCAGCAGTCTAAGCCTATAGCAGCAGAACTATAGAGATAGATCAGGATAACCTGAGCCACTCTAACTAGAAACTTTATATGTGAGAAGGAGGATTTTAAATTCTATTCTCGACTAAACATTCTGTTGCTAATGACAACCCAGAGCAGACTAATTTCCATTGGTTCACACAGAACAACCAGGAATGGAGTGGGTCAAATCTGTGATACAATATTAGAAAAAAAAAAACACTATTCATAAAACTCGGTCTCCCGAACAAAAATTTGAAAAGAATCAGAAAAACTAAATAAAATAAAAAAATGTTGACCCTTTTGTAAAATATTGATTGGCCTTTAGCATACATACAAATGACTAGCTTAAGAGAGAGATTTTCAATTTTCCATTTAAAAAGCATTTCTTTTTGCTTTCAATGATATTGGAACAAATTGTTCTTTATAAAAAAAAAAGTCTCAAAGTATTTTATTTAATGCATTTCAAAGGATGTCCAAAAAGGTCATCCTCAGTCTGAATACTCCAGGTAACAATTTATTACTAAACGAGTTCACTAATATTCCTAAAATGTTTTCTTCTCAGCCGTGTTGTTCAGGTAAGCAGAACTCAGAAAGCATCCAAGACTTCAGCCTGGATGGATTTGGTCTTTCTGAGGTTTAAATGAGCATCTTTACTCTTCTGGGTGAAAACTATGGAAAGCAGCCATTGGAAGGAGTTCAGTTTGGTACCAGTCAGAGTTTAGAGGACAGTTGTCCCTCTTTATGGACCTGGTTGCTCTGCTGATTGGAGATCTTTGATGGATCCAACATTAATTGACTTGGATCATCCCGTATCTGTAGGACCTCAGCCGCCTCCACCTCCTGAGGAGGCGGCTGAAAAAAAAAGCTGTCATATGTGGACGGATTTAGGAAATTTGGGGCCCTAGGCAAAGACAGGCAGGGGCCCCTCTGAATGGAGAAGACAAAACATCAAACAGATCCATTCTACAGATAGAGAAATATTAATAGAATAGACATCCATTATCTATTCTAGGTTGTGTCCCTCTCTTCTTGTCCCTTTTCTTCTTGTTTTCCTCTCTATGTTTTGTACTCAGCTGACTTTTCATGCTGTCTCTAAAGGAATGAAAGATTTTTTCCAAGCACTAAGCTCACTTAGCTGATTGCTCCTTCCTGTGTTTCCAAAAAGGCCAAAGTAAATAACCCAGTCCTTCTTTTCACTGTAGACAAGCCATGATCTGCTTATCTGTTCTCCATTTTTCATTTGGATGAAATAATAGCTGCATGAATCATGACAGCAGACAAGATAGAGGAGAGCAGGAGGCGGGGTTACCAATCTACTCGCTCTGGAGAGCAGAGTTCGCTGCTTTTAGATGTTGTCTCCAAAGTCTCCAGTAGCAGAAAAAAGTCTCTAGATTTGGCGCTAGGAGCTTTTTAGAAATCAAAGTGCTAGAGGGGTCTGAAAAGTGGCTAAATATAGCGACTAAAGCGCTAAGTTGGCAACACTGCTCTTTGCATGGTTTGTTTTCAAATGGTTTGCTGCTGTCTGTTTGGACCTTTCTGAACATGTGCAGCAAATGGACTGATCCAATATGGTGGACACTGAAGGGGGGGCTGAGAGACACTTCAGCATTCTGATGGCATTTTAGCAATAAATTTTGATCAAGAACATAATGTGCAGAAATTAGGAAAGTTGTATTAACAGAGTTTTATGGGGCCCCCAGGAACTTGGGGCCCTAGGCACCTGCCTAGTGTTGCCTAATGGTAAACCCCCCCTGCACTGTTTTTCTTCCTTTGGCACGTTCTTCTTCTCTTTTTTAAATATTTTAGCTGATTTAACGAGTCAATTTCACTGTGAGATCAATAAAGTCAATCAATTTGAGAACAAGAAGCATCAGAGGAATTTTACTCTGAAAGGCAACACCGGATGTTGCGGTGGGTTTCGGTCAGACGTCATTTCCGGCCTGTCCCAGTGTGATGGACTCTCAGAAGGTAAGACCCAGATGATTTTAGATCCTACCGGATCAGCGGTTCTGACCCAGACTGCCCGGTTAGCCGTTAGCTGTTAGCATCTCTCTCTCTCCGGTAGAGAGAGCTTCGGGATGAACGGACCCACCGATCAGCTGGTTCCCCTTCATTAAACCAATGATCGATCAGCTGATCCGGTCGCCTTGGTAACCTGCTGCTGGTAGCTACCGGTTCGACCCGCAGAGGTTAAAGGCTAGAGTCGGTGATGGCAGGTGTAC